CTTTTCACATTGTCTTTTTTTCTAAGTTGTAATTTTATTTAAATCCTGTCTTTCTCAAACATCTTTATTTTATTTTATTTTATTTTTATTAAATATAATTTACACATAAGTTTACGTATAAAGTTTACCATTTTGAAGTATACAATTTAGTGTTTTTTTAATATACTCACAAGGTTGTTCAACCATCCCCACTATCTACTTCCAGAACATTTTCATTACCCCCGGAAAGAATCCTCATACTCATCAACAGGTACTCCCCATTCTCCCCTCTCCCATCCCCTGGCAATCACTAATCTACTTTCTGTCTGTATGGATTTGCCTGTTCTGGACAGTACCATACCATATGTGGCCTTTTGTGTCTGACTTCTTTCACTTAGCAGAATATTTTAAGGTCATCCATGTTGCAGCATATATTAGTACTTCATTCTTTTTATGGTTGAATGCATTCCATTATATGGATATATACCACATTTTGTTTATCCATTTATCAATTGATGGACATTTGGGTTGTTTCTCCTTATTGGCTATTAGGAGTAATGCTGCTATGAACATTCTTCTGCAACCTTTTGTATAAATGTGTGTTCTTTTTTCTCTTGGATATATATCTAGGAGTAGAATTGCTGGGTCATATTGTAACTGTATGTTTAGGATTTTGAGGAATAGCCAGACTATTTTCCAAAATGACTCACCATTTTACACTCATGCCAGCAATGCAGAGAGTTCCAATTTCTCCAATCCTCACTTGTTATTATCTGGGTTTTTCCCTTCCTTCCTTTATTTTTAATTGTAGCAGTCCTAGAGGGCATGAAGTGGTACCTCATTGTGATTTTGATTTTTAGTTCAGTAAGGATTAACAATGTCTAACATCTTTTTGTGTTTTTATTGGATATATATATATATATATTTGAATAAATACTGATATATAACTATAATATATATCTTTGAATAAGTAAATATTCAAATCCTTTGCCCATTTTTAATTAGGTTATTTGTCTTTTTATTGTTGAGTTGGAAGACCTTTTACATATCCTTATCAGATACGTGATTTACAAATATTTTCTCCCATTCTGTGGATTATTTCTTCACTTTCTTGACAGGGTCCTTTGATGGATAAAAAGTTTTCAGTTTCAATGAAGTCTTACTAATCTGTTCTTTTCTTTGGTTGCTTGTACTTTTGGTATCATATCCACATTGTCTTTTCTTCCTTGAAGAATAAAAGAAACATTAAACCAGGAGTAAAGAGACAGGACTTCTATTCCCAGATACGCAATTACATAAATGTGTGACCTTAAGCCATTATTTAAACTCATTTGGAACTGAGTTTCCACATGTTTGAAAAAAAGCTGGGTTCATCAGAGCAGATAGTTTGTACTTTTTCATGAATAAATTATCTCTGTAAAACACCCTACGTTAGTACTTCTCCACCTGCCTAACATTTGGCAATCTCTGGAGACATTTTTGGTTGTCACAACCAGGAAGGGGTGCTACTGGCATCTAGTGAGTAGAGGTCAGAGGTGCTGCTAAACATCTAACAACGCACAGGATGGCTCCCACAGCAAAGAATGATACCAGCCAAAAACGATACTAGTACTCAGGTTGAGAAACACTACAATTAAGGTTCTGTTATTCCAGTTTATTTTAAGTGGTAGTCTTTGATTTTGTCTGTAGGAGCCAGATGGTTTTGTGCTCTTAGCCTTATACTAGAGCTACTGGCCTGATGGAGGCTAAAAGAAGGGGGAGGTATCAATAATTCTTGCAAGTCAGGAGATATTTTTGATAATGTTTTCAGGACTTTTAAAAAGTATTGTGTCTTTTATTATGAAGAAAACAATTTTCAATATAGATATCTCTAGGAAAAGACTTGTAGATGTATTCTTGTTATTGAGTCTTCAGGTCACGATCCCGGGGTCCCGGGATTGAGTCCTGTGTTGGGCTTCTTGCTCAGCGGGGAGCCTGCTTCTCCCTCTCCCTGCTGCTCCCCCTGCTTGTTCTCTGTCTCTCTTTCTCTCTGACAAATAAATAAATTATTTTTAAAGGATAAGAACTACATGATCCTTTCAATAGATGCAGAAAAAGCACTTAACAAGGTACAACATCCATTCATGATAAAAACCGTCAACAAATAGGTTTAATAGGAACCGACCTCAACATCATAAAGGCTATATATGGAAAAGCCACGGCTAATATCATCCTCAATGGGGGAGAAACTGAGAGCTTTTCCTCTATGGTCAGGAACAAGACAGGGATGTCCACTTTAACCACTGTTATTGAACATAGTAGTGGAAGTCCTAGCTTCAGTAGTCAGACAACAAAAAAAAATAAAAGGCATCCAAATTGGCAAGGAAGAAGTCAGACTTTTGCTAATTTGCAGATAACATGATACTGTATTTGGAAAACCTGAAAGACTCCACCAAAAATTGCTAGAACCATAAACTAATTCAGTAACATTACAGGATACAAAGTCAATGTACAGAAATATGTTGCATTTCTATACACCAATAATGAACCAGCAGAAAGAGAAACTAAGGAATCAGTCCCATTTACAATTGCACCCAAAGCAATAATACACCTAGGCATAAATCTAACCAAAGAGGTGAAAGATCTGTACTCTGAAAACTATGAGACACTGATGAAAGAAGTTGAAGAGGACACAAAGAAATAGAAAAATATTCCACGCTCATGGATTGGAAGAACAAATATTGTTAAAATGTCTATACTACCCAAGGCAATCTACACATTTAATGTAATCCCTATCAAAGTGCCACTAGCATTTTTTACAGAGCTAGAACAAACAATCCTCAAATTTGTATAGAACCACAAAACACCCTGAATAGCCAAAGCAACCTTGAAGAAGAAAAGCAAACCTAGAGGCATTACAATTCTGGACTTCAAGTTATATTACAAAGCGGTAGTCTTCAAAACATTATGGTACTGGCACAAAAACAGACACATAGATCAATGGAACAGAACAGAAAACCCAGAAATGAACCCACAACTCTATGGTCAACTAATCTTTGACAAAGCAGGAAAGAATATCCAGTGGGAAAACGACAGTCTCTTCAACAAATGGTGTTGGGAAAACTGGACAGCAACATGCAGAAAAATGAAACTGGACCACTGTCTTACACCATACACAAAAATAAATTCAGAATGGATGAAAGACCTAAATGTGAGACAGGAAACCATCAAAACCCTAGAGGAGAGCACAGGCAGTAACCTCTTTGACATCAGCTGTAGCAACTTCTTTCTAGATATGTCTCCTGAGGCAAGGGAAATGAAAGCAAAAATTAACTCTTTGGACTTCATCAAAATAAAAAGCTTCTGCACAGTGAAGGAAACAGTCAACAAAACTAAAAGGCAACCTATGGAGTGGGAGAAAATATTTGCAAATGACCTATCTGATAAAGGTTTAGTATCCAAAATATAAAAAGACCTTATAAAACTCAACACCCCAAAACTGAATAATCCAATTAAAAATGGGCAGAAAACATGAATAGAAATTTTTCCAAAGAAGACATACAGATGGCTAACAGACATATGAAAAGATGCCCAACATCACTCATCATCAGGGAAATACAAATCAAAACTATAATGAGATATCACCTCACACCTGTCAGAATGGCTAAAATCAACAGTACAGGAAACAGCAGGTATTGGCGAGGATGTGGAGAAAGTGAAATGGTTGCACTAATGGTTGGAATGCAAACTGCTACAGCCACTGTGGAAAACAATATGGAAGTTCCTCAGAAAGTTAAAAATAGAACTAACTACCCTATGATGCAGCAATTGCACTACTAGGTATTTACCCAAAGAATACTAATTCAAAGGAATACATACAAACCTATGTTTATGGCAGCATTATCTACAATAGCTAAATTATGGAAACAACCCAATGTCCATTGATTGATGAATGGATAAAGAAGAAGTGATTATATATATAGACACACACACACACGTACGCACACACCATGGAATATTAGCCATCAAAAAGAATGAAATCTTGCCATTTGCAATGATATGGGTAGAACTAGAGAATATTATGTTAAGTGAAATAAGTCAGTGAGAGAAAGACAAATACCATATGATTTCACTCATATGTGGAATTTAAGAAATGAAACAAATGAAGAAAGGGGGAAAAAAGGAGTGAGGCAAACCAGGAAACTCTTAACTATGGAGAACAATCTGAGGGTTGCTGGAGGGAAGGTGGGGGGTGGGTTAAATAGGTGATGGGGATTAAGGAGTGCACTTGCTGATGAGATGAGCATGGGGTTTTGTATGCAAGTGTTGAATCATTATATTGTATGCCTGAAAATGATATATAGTGTATGGTAACTAACTAGAATTTAAATAAAAACTTAAAAAAATAAAGTCTGAGTTATTTCCAATTATTTTTCAAGAAGGTCTGCGTTAGAATTGTTTCTCTCAAAAGTATATACATGGACCTTGAAGCTGCTATAATATTTCCCATCTCTCAGCACCCACATGCATGTGTATGTATATACAATTTTTTAAAGGGCCCAAAACATGCTGAAAGTTTAAGAGTTTTTATAATGGCTTCGAACTAGTAACATACTGAAAATATGACTTTCTTAACAGAAAAAAGATCTAGATTTTTTTAATGAGACTAACTTTTTTTACACATTGGTCACATATGTTTTTACTAAACAGCAGAATTTCTCACTACATCCATGGTTCAGTATAAAAAAATCCCATTGTCAATTAAGATTTAAAAAAAATTATCTCAGCAAGAGGATTAAATTCTAGTCTAGATTCATTTATCTTCCTACTTTACAAACTCTAGGTAAAGGAATCTAACAAGTTGCCAAAGAACACAATCCTGAGCCTTAATCACAAAAGTTGATGAAGCACCTTTTATAAGACCCCTCCACCCTGCAACAAGTGGGTATCCAGAGGAATGTTAATACCATACTACTAAAGGTTAAATATTTACATCATTTTAGAACATTTTAAGCTGTATTACAGTGCTATAATTTCTCCTCTTAAGGAAAAATAGATTGAATTTCCCTGCAGTGTTCTGAAAGGAAATAAGGTCGTTTTTAAAAAATATATCCATAATAACTAGTGGTTTGCTTATTTTTTTCCTGTATTTTTAAATTCCAACAAAGCATTACTTTGCAAAAGGTCCTTCAGTTCAAATTCAGTGTCTCTATTTTGATCTCTTTGTAAAAGAACTCTCTGTTCATCCATTCTTTCTGCCTGAGAATGTAAAATCAAGTTAAAAAAGTCCTCATCTGGTACTGTTGGTCCCTTTGTGGCAGCAGGTGGTGGAGCACATCTTTGGTCATCTAATCTGGACCCTTGACATTTTACAAGGATACCAAAGAAGTCTTCATCAGGCTCTTTGTTGTCATTAGTCATCAGGTGGCCAAGGGCAGACTTATTGTTATTTTGTGTCAGATGAAGCCCTGGCAAATTACTGAAACTGGCCCTCTGGTCATCAAGACGGCGGCTCTGTGAGCTGGCAAGGTCTAAAAACTCATCCGTGTTGGGGGATACCATGGAAACAGATGATATTTTTAGCATCACTCTAGGGGGAGTGGAAGAAGCTGCAGTTGAAGCTGGCCCACAGCTCTGTTCTTGTAAGCAGCACCTCTGATCATCCATCCGATTGCTCTGAAATCGGCTTACCAGGTCAAAGAACCCTTCATCTCCAATAGTATTTGTACTGACATTTCTCTGAGAATTTGGAATTCGGTGATCAATGGAATTACTGGCATCTTGGAGAATTTTAGTGGAGGAATTAGTTTTGCATTTTTTCCCCTTCAATCTGTTGACAAAGAGCAGCTTCGCAGAAGGTTTGGCAATAAGAGGCTTTTGTTTAGCAAGAATTTCACTGTTCTAGTTCTGTACCTTTTCTGGTGTTAACTTCATAAGTTCCATGTTTTCCATACTATGTCGGCGTCCGAACTTGAGGCATGCACCATGCAAACTGTTACCAATTTCAATATTTTCAGATATTATTGAATTATTTGTGCTGTAGCTCAGACCAAGAACAATTTGAAGACCTGAGAGATTTAGTCGTGTTGTTAGTTCACCACTTCTATTCCCAGCCTCTCTTGAAATTTCCAAGTGCTTCTCAGCAAAATGCATTGCTTGGTCATGATTCCCTAGAGCGGTGTATGCATTTCCTAAGCTCCAATGTGCTCTTCCTTCACCAATTCTATCATTTAGCTCTTGATCAATTGCCAAGTGCTTCAGATGATAATCAATGGCCTTTTCGTAGTCCTGAAGCAAAGTATATGTGTTTCCAAGACTATAACAAGACTGTGCTTCAACAGCTCTGTCTTTAAGCTGTCAAGCCAATAGTAGTCTTTTTGTAGTATTCAGAGGCAGTTTCAAATTCACCAAGAAATATATATGCATTTCCAAGGTTGCTGTATGCTCTTCTTTCAGCTGCTTTATGTCCAGATTCTTTTGCAATACGGAGACGCTGCTCATGAGCTATAATCGCATCCCTGAAGTTGCCAAGGAGGTAATGTGTATTTCCAAGATTTCCAAAGGCACGTCCTTGGGCTGCTCGATCACCCAAAGCAGTCATTAGTGATAGGTTTTCCTCATAATAATCCACAGCTGCCTGAAGGGCATTTCTCACTTCTTCTGGAAATTCTCCTATGTCCTGAGGACCAGGGCAGCCAAAACTTTTCCCTTTGGCGTGATACGCATTTCCAAGATCGTAAAGTGCTCTTGCTTCTTCCACCTCGTCATTAAGCTCTCTAGAAATATCTAGGTGTTGCTGACAACAAACTACAGCTTCATCAAAATTCCCAAGAACTTTTACAGTGTTTCCCAGATTACTACTAGCTTTGGTTTCCCCCAGCTGGTCTCCAATAGTCCTTGCAAGAGTTAAATCATGATGATGATATTCTAATGCTTTGGCATAATCATGCAAATAGAAATAAGCATTGCCCAGCTGGCTGTAAATAGCACTGAGTGTTTTTAGGTCTTCAGTTCCAACTTGAACTAAAGCTTCAAAAAAGGACACACCAGCACTGCAATCTCCTGATTTACACAGACGTTCCCCTTCCAAGGCCAGTTCTAGGCAAGAAGCTTCCATTCTGTAACAAACATGAAAAGAATAGTCTTCCCTCATGCTTATCAAATTTTCCTCCATTGAGTCATATTATAAGCTGAGTAAAATATGAAATTATTTTATTTAGTGCCAATCCAGTTCTTTACAATGTAGAATTGTTGTAGAACATTGTCTGGTTAGTATATTAATGAGTTGGTGTTAATACATCCTAAGCTCCTGCTTCTTCTTTATTAATAATGAAAGGAGGTCAATGTCAGACAGCTTAAAGGTTCAAAATGTGTCCCAAATCCTTGCATCTCTGGCCCTTTCAGCAGCACTTCAGCAACATTTCTCTGGTGGGCCGGCGAGTCCCGGGAGTGCGGTGGCCATGACAGAGCTGCAGCAGTGGCCGCCTCCTGTATATATAATTTTAAAATGGTACAGCTTCTACAACATATAAGTAATGGAAGGATTTGTGTTTAACTTTGTTTATATATACAGGAAGCAGTGAAAGAAAACAACAAGAGAAAAGAAATGGAAGAGAAGACTAAGAGGGCAAAGCTTGCAAAAGAGAAAGCTGAACAAGAAAAGTTAGAACGCCAGAAGAAAAAGAAACAACTCATTGATATAAACAAAGGTATGAAGTACTTTCAATTTCTTAAAGATATATAAAGTACAAAATAATTTAACTTAATTGATTTTGGATTATAATGTAAATGTGCTCTTGGTAGAAAACTCACAATATTATTAGTTATTTGTGTCATATTTCTCTCATAATATTATCTCTATTTCTTATCACCCTACACTGAGCGCTCAGGATTTTTGAGAACCAGTGCAGGGTAATATATTGTTGAAATGGTCTCTTTCCCTTCATATATTTTATCAAATTATATCATATTATGTTCTGGGTGATGCAGTGGTGAGGAAAGAAGAGGGTGAGATGAAAAGAGAAAAACTGGTAAGGGGAGATGAGCCCTCTGGCTCTAATTTCATTTTGTTGACACATGTCTGTTGACAATGCAGTAATAACAGTTTTCCTTGGGGCCTTGAACATTTCAAGTCATAATAGATATTGACAGCGCTAGTATAAGAAGAAAAAAAAATAGAGACATCTTATTCAACTGTGAGCCTAAGAACAAAGATGCTGTATGTCCACATAGTGTAAGGTAAGTTGTTTTCTTTGTTAACAAGAGTGATTGTATATTAAAAGTGAGTGTTTGGTTTTATTTTGTTTTCTTTTTAAAGAAGAGAACAATAAATAAAGTGATTGGCACCAGGTAGCTGCACTCTGATTCAATTTAAGAAAAATTAAGAAAAAGCATAGCCTTTGCCACTGAGGGGTATAGAATTTAAAAACGAAACAAAATCTGTAGATACAAGAAATACAAGTTACAAGAGAACATGATTAATATGGGTCACCTATTTCTTAATATAATTACAGTAAAAATTGTAAGCACTGGGTAATGTTGACCATGTGCCAAGCACTGTTCTAAGACTTTGACATGTTTTAAGTCAATTAATCCTCCTAACATAAGAAGTAGATACTGTTATTACCTCATACAGGTGAGGAGAACCTCAAATTAAAGAACTTGCTGAGGATCACACAAATACCAAGTACAACATCAAGATTAGAACCAAAGTAGTCTGGCTAGAGAATCTTTGCACTTATAAATGCTGTTGTCAAGTAATAATAACTAACAGCAGTTACTAATGTGTAGCACTTACTGTGTACCAGGAACTGTTGTAGGAGTTTGACATATATAAACACATTTAATCCTCATAAAATGCTATTAGGAAAGGGCTACTATCTCATTTTAAGATGAGGAAACTGAGGCACAGAGAAGTTAAGTAACTTACTCAACTTCACAAAGACAGTAAGAGGTAGAATCTAGGCAGTCTGTGGCCAGATTCAATTATTAATTATTTAATTTGATTATAACTTTTAATTATAATTATTAACCATTATCAATTATTCTGTAGTAATGTCTCTTAATAGCTAACTTTCTGAAATGATATCTGTACCATTAAGTTTATTCTTTATGCCTTTAAAATATATAAAAATTTTTAGGAATCCACTATAGTTTATCTTTTCTACCCAGGAAATAAAAATAATATCATTCTAAAAGAAGAAAATAAGTTAACAACTAAGGCTAAAAAGAGTAGCATCAACATAATTTAGCAAACAGACTTCATAATTAGGATCAAAAGAATTGGTCCTGACTGAAGATACTCAATTAGGAAAATCACTGGAGTATGCATGGCAGTGGGTATTTGTAGGAAGTTCTTACTTAAAAGATGATGGAGTCAGTAGAATAGTACTAGAAGTTACTCCCTTTTGTGCATGGACCATTAGTGAGATAAGAGTATGGGAGAAGTAGGGGACAGATTGTGCATTCTCAGGCTAAGGGCTTTACCCTGAAAGCTGTGGGAAGCCCATGAGTATTTCTAAATGGGAAATTGATGTGCTCACATAGATTTCTTAGAAAGATCATTTTGACAGAAGCATAGGGAATGGATTGGAAAGAGAAGAGCCTGTGACAACAGAAGTTATAAAGTTATTATCATAGTCCTGACGAGAGATGATGGTGGCTTGATTTAATGCAGTGGTAGTGAGGTTAGAGAAGTTACCAATTTAAGAGGTATATATGAGTTCTATAGGATGTGGATATATAGAGACAGATTTATTTAAAGGAATTGACTCATGATTATGGAAACTGGCAAATCCAAAACCTGCAGAGTAGGGTGTCAGGATGGACCCAGGGAAGGGCCAGTCTGAAGATAGTTGGCTTGCAGAATTCCTTCTCACTCAGGAGAGGTCAGCCTTTTTATCTATTCATGCCTTCAGCTGATTGGATGAGGCCCACCCACATTGTGGAGAGCAATCTGCTTTACTCAAAATCCACTGATTTTTTTATTCTAGTTTTTATTTCTTTTTTTTAGTTTTATTTTATTATGTTATGTTAATCACTGACTTAAATGTTAATCTCATCCAAAAACACCCTCACAGAAACATCCAGAATAATGTTTGAATAATTATCTAGGCACTGTGGCCCAGCGAAGTTGACACATAAAATTAACCATTACCAGAGGGGTATTAAGTGGTAGAAATGACTGACCCTGCTGATTGAATAGATGTGGGAATTGAGGATAGGAGGCATTAAAGAAGGTGATACCCTTCATAAAGAAAAAAATTCAGGAATAGAGCAGATTCCATCAGGAAGGTTACAATGATTAGTGTCATTTTGAACATGTTTCATTTTCAGACCTTTTGGAAAGATGGGAAATGTCTAAGTAGCCATTGTATATCATTTGCATATGAAACTCAGGAAAGAGGTTTGGACTAGACAGACAGACTTGAGAATCATTGGTTTTTGATGATTAAAGTTAGGGTATATTAATTTGCTAGGGCTTCTGTAACAAAGTACCACAAACTAGGTAGCTTAGAATAATAGAAATTTATTGTTTCATAGTTCTAGAGAAGAGAAGTCTGCAATCAAGATGTAGGAAGGGCCACGTTTTTTCTGATGATGCTAGGGAAGGATTTGTTCCAGCCTCTCTCCTACCTTCTGGTAGTTCCTTGGTTTATAGCAGCAAAACTTCAGTCTTCACGTGCCATTATCCCTGTGTGCATGTCTGTCTCTTCACATGGTATTCTTTTTATTAGCACACCAGTCATATCGGATTAGGGGGTCCAACCTACTCCAGTATGACCTCACCCTAATTGACAATTCAACCTATAACATATGAGTTTGAATGAGATCACCAGGGTAAAGTTCAGGTTCTGAGATTCTGAAAGTATTTGGTCTCAGAACCCATTTACACTTTTAAAAATTATTGTGGACCCCAAATACCTTTTGCTTATTTGGGTAATATATATTGACATTTATCATGCTGGAATTAAAACAGACATAATAAAATTATATAAGATAAATCATTTGAAAACTTTTTATTTACTAGTTCTATTAAAATAACAGAGTAAACCTACTACATGCTAAAAACATCTTTTTATGAAAAGTAGCTTTATATTCTAACCTCCTGCCCCCCAAAAATATTAGTAAGAAGAGAAAGCTATAGTGTTGTAAATTTCTTCCGAGTCTGGCTTGATAAAAGCTTGATTCTCATACTGTTTTTACATTCAATCTAATGCAGTATCATTTGTCATGTGGCTTCTGGAAAACACCATAAATTCATGAAAGAATGAGAGAGAAAAAGGCAAAAAAGTATCACTATTCTTATGAAGATAGTTTTTACCTTGCATATCTGAAGTGATCTCAGAGACCCACAAGTCCCAAGACCATACTTTGAAAATCTCTGGAGTAAATAATGAAAAGAGCAAGCAATTAAGAAAGAGTCTAATGAGTTTTATGGCAAGAACATAATCTTGCCCCCATACTGCATTGCACCCTTCCCTCTCCCCAAGTATTTACTCAACCTTTCACTATTTCCCTAAAAATATACCTGTAATAGAAAGAAAAAAGAAAGAAAGAACCTATTTTGATTATGTCTCTGGTATATATTTTCATTTCCCAAGATTTGATCAATTATCCCTTCAAATATCATTAAAGCGATAGTATGAAGATCTAAATAAGCTTTTATGCAAATGCTTAGCTGAGTGATCTGAATATGAAAGACACACTTTAACATAGGATTTATCTTTTGTGTATTGTTAACCATATCTCTAACTTAGAGATCAAAGAGTAAACTTTACCATTAGGTTCTTGATTTGTGGCCCATATGTTGCAAATACCTTGTTACTATTATTATTATTATTGTAATATTATTTTAAATTTAAAAGTATGTGTGTGTTAGTACTTATAAATATGTTTCAAAAAGAGATACTTCCATTGGAATCGTGTAGCCTTAAGAAAATGAGAAGAAAGAATAAGAACAGAGTCGGGTAGTTAGGGGTCAAGATGGAACTCAGTGAGTTTCTCAGACAGTATCTTATAAAAAATGCTATTGTTAACTAGGTAGAAATCAATTGCAGACACTTTGAGGGCCTTGGGGAAAGTGTGGTCAGGCTACATAAAATATGAATCCACAGGTGACATGAGAATGAGGTGCAGTCAGAAAGTGATTAAGAGAACTTTAAATGTGTCTAACTTGAATAGTATCATCCACTTTCCAGTAAAAGAATTGTAATCTTCCTTTCCCCTGAGCGATGATGTCAAATATTTGATTGCCATTTTAAGATATGTATTATATAGAGCATAGAGGTATTTCGTGCACATGTGATTAGAGATACATACCATTAGAACCAGAGGGTCCTACCCATAACAATAGTAGTGAAGCAGAGTCCCTTGGGTAAAGAAAGTCACTTGAAAATTACCAACAACTTTAAAAACACATACTCTTTCTGTAGTTTCTATTTCATACCAACTTAGCAAAATTGCAAGCCTCTCCCTTTTAGAAAATATCCCATGATCCCATATAGCTAATAAGTAATAATAGTAAGTTATATTTATCTGACATGCAAAATTATATATATTCATCAAAAAGAAATATTTTAGAATTTAATTTAATTCAGAAGAATAAGAGGATAAAGCAAACACAACAGATTATTTATGTTATCTAGATGTGATCAGCTGAACTCAGAATTAAGAGGGCATATCATGGAAACCAAGCAGCTAGAGAATT